TAGCAAGCACCGGGAAGTTTAAAATGCGATAGCTCCAATCAGCAGGCCCCAGCTACCTTTAGAGCAGAATCCCCACCCCACTCACAGTTTGTAGCAAGCACCGGGAAATTTAAAATGCGATAGCTCCAATCAGTCCATATATAGTCCTCAACTTATGTGGTCATAAGTCGAGGACTATATATGTACTACAGGTAGTCCTCAACTTACAGACGTTCATTTAGCGACCGTTCAAGGTTACACTTGGAAACTGGCATGTGTTTATGACAGTGGAATGTCCCAGGGGTGATGTGTTCACCATTTGCAACCACCTCAGCTAGCTTCCGAGAAGCAAAGTCTGTGGGGGAAGCCAGGTTTGTTTAACAACCACATGTTTCACTTAACAACTGCAGTGATTTGCTTACCAACTGTGGCAAAAAGTTTGTAAAATGGGACAAAACTCACTTAGCAAAACGGTCTTGCTTAGCAATGGAAATTTTGGGCTCAATTGTGGTCATAAGTTGAAGACTACCCTTAATGCAAGGACAACATTTGACGATACAAAATTAGCCTCAAAATATTTCTGTGATATAACAGGAACGAAGAAAAGATGTTTTCTTTGGTAGTAAAAAGGGCAGGATTTAAGTTGCCTGCTTCCAGTGTCACTGAGCCTGTCTCCCCTCTGATGGGACAATGATGCATCGTGCAAGAAAACTAAGGAGATTTTTCTCTTCCTCCAAATAGGAACCTTGTTGTGGACTCATCTTTCACAAAGGGGTCCTGACGTCTAAGGATTTTACGAGCTGGAAGGGCTTTTACGCAGGTGGAAGCGTGTGCCTATTATTAAACGCTCTGCTGAGCATCCAACCTGTAGGGCACCACTGAAGTTGGAGGAGAAAAGAAGAAAGGATTTTTTTTACCAAACATGTTAAGACACAGTAGAACACAGGCAAACAAGCAAGTTTTCTCTTTTTAAAAAAATAGATTACATTTATTTTGCACTGAAATCCAAGATATATTTTTTTAAAAAAAAGCTTCATTAGTATTAAGATACAGAATTAAAATATATATTTACAAAGGCAGGGCAATGTTTTGAAAGCAATACTGGTGGTATTCCAGGTCACTAAAACAAGGCAGCAGAAACACCTAAGGCAGCAATTGCCTGGACCAGGGGTCTTCAAACTTGGCCTTTTTGTGACTTGTGGACTTCAACTCCCAGAATTCCTCAGCCAGGCACGTTGGCTGAGGAATTCTGGGAGTTGAAATCCACAAGTCATAAAAGGGCCAAGTTTGAAGACCCCTGGCCTAGACATTTTAACTTTCTTCCTTCCGCTATAGGTAAAAGATTCCAGTACCTTTAACAAAAGTAAGCATTTCAACAAAATAGACATTTTGACACAGGGAGGAATCAGATATTTTACTCCTAGAGTGATGGAACATGTTTATTTTATTTGTTTATTCATCACATCTGTGCAGTTCCCAATAAAAAAATATATGTTCCATTGTAATGTTCCGTACAGGAAGTTGAAGGATTTTTCTGCTAAGCAGTTAAAGTGCAGGACTTCCATTGCCCACAACTTTCCCAAATTGGTGCCCACAGTAGCCTCCTATGGGGTAGAGTTCAAAATTTACACACAGGCATCACAATAAAAGTCCTCTCCTTTTATACATCTACAATAGCGGTGGGCCACTTATTTATTGATGCTGCTCCCCTCCCTATTGATGCTGCTGGATGGCCCCCAGATGTGACTCTATGACATGATGAGGGAGGAGGGGAGCCATAAGCCAATGGCCTATAACTATTTCTCAACCGTGGCAACTTGATGTCTGGACTTCAACTCCCAGAATTCCCCAGCCAGCATGCTAGGGAATAACAAGAATAACTGTATCTGAAATCTCCCAACATGGGCAATATTTCCATTAATCAAAAGAATCTTTTAAAAGAAGCATACTGGTGAAAAACTTCGGAAATTCCTTAGGGAAATCTAATACTAAGATTAGCATTTGGACTGAAAGCTTTTTGATTTCTGCTTTTTCTTGTATGATCCAAAGAAGTTTTTACCTCAGAAACAAGGCACCTTTACAACAGTAATTAAGCGGTTTAAACCATCACACACATATATTCATAAATGTGCTTTCTTACTATCATATTGAAGAAATGCATCTATAATCCCCTTATACCATATTCCTCCAAATAAGTGCACTTGGCTGCTAATATTTAAAAAAAATGTATAAGTATTTACATGTTGACAGAGGTTAGAATACTATAATTAAAAATTGTGGCAAGAGGTCAGTAAAAGCTCATTTGAAATAAATAAAATATGCTATTAATTTTAAAAAGAGGAACATTTTGCACATTCTTTTGGTCAAACCAGACCATTAAAGAGCTAAAAGGCAGTCACTTCCCCCATTTTGTTTTTTACTCAGAAGGGGTTGCTATGCTATATAGCTGTATTCTAGAGATGCTTTTCTAGAACTAGACACATTTGTTTAATCAACTGCTTGCCTTCCACGCAACCATCAAATCCAGAGGCTGCCATGAAAATGGCCAATTATAGCTAGACTTCAATCATTATTAAGGATTCTCATTAGAGTAAGTGAGAAAAGTTCATGATCGAAAAGTACCTCCTTAATATTCTAGGGTGAGATCAACCCAGGCATCAGCCATTCCAACTTCCTCCAATAAAATCCTAAACAGCACCCCCATGCTAGTAGAACTTAGTGTGTTTCAGTCCAGACTATCCCAATTTAACGTTCTCCAAATGTGTTGGGATTAAAATCCCCAACATCTTCATCTACTACTGCTATTGAAGACAATGAACTTCCAGTCCAACACGAGCTTAGGAAAAGATTCTTTTAGGGGGTTAGAAGAGACTGGGCCCAGTAGATACCAATTTTTTAGGAGGTAGCCCTTCAAGTCCTTTATGTGTAAAAGCACAATCAAGATAAGATACGGTGTATTATTCAGTGCTTTGCAAACACGGATCTGGCCGTCAGACCCCCCACAAAAGTCAGACGCCCCCTCTGCATCCAAAATCGATAACCTCTCTCACTCCTATTCAGTTGCCCTTGTAGTCTGAGGGGCCGTTTTTTGCCAATAAGTCCCCATAAGCTGCCTCTTCCCGGGAGAAGATTTGGAACTTCTTCTCCAGCTGGGCACGGAGGTAGAGATAATCCTGTTCATCAAGGCTGTGAGCACAGGTAAGATAGACGGTGAAGAAGAAGGCCAGAAGCAGGCGGTCAAGAGAGAGGCAGGGAACAGCCCAGAGGATAAGGAGAAACTCCACGTACAATGGGTGGCGAAGGTGGGAGTAGAGACGGAGGGCCCGTGAAGACTTCACAGCCAAAGGGTCTCCTATGCCCAAGCAGTAGTAATAAACCTGGGGATGAAATGAAAGCAACATCTGTTTACTGTAGAGGCCCTCCCAGATTTTATATACAGCCAAGGCACCCTTGGGCTCTCTGCAGATTCTACAGAGGAACACACGGCTTCCCATTTGTAATGCAATGCTGAATACAGGTCAACTTATGACCACAATCGAGCCCAAAATTCATGTTGCTTAGCGACACAGTTGTTAAAGTGAGTTTTCTCCCATTTAACGACCTTTCTTGCCTCAGTTGTTAAGTGAATCGCTGTAATTGTTCAGCAACATGGTTGTTAAGTGAATCTGGCTTTCTCATTGACTTTGCTTGTCAGAAGATCGCAAAAGGGGATGATCACATGACCCCCCCGGGACACACTGCAACCGTCATAAAATATGAGTGAGTTGCCAAGCGTCTGAAGGGAGATGCTGCAAGGGTCGTAAGTGTGAAAAAATGTAATAAGTCCAATATCTCAGGGGCTGCCACAAAGAAGAGGGAGTCAAGCTATTCTCCAAGGCGCCTGAAGGCAGGACAAGAAGCAACGGGTGGAAACTAATCAAGGAGAGAAGCAACCTAGAACTAAGGAGAAACTTCCTGACAGAACAATTAACCAGTGGAACAACCTGCCTCCAGAAGCGGTGAATGCTCCAACACTGGAAGTTTTTAAGAAGAGACTTGACAGCCATTTGTCTGAAATGGTATAGGGCAGGGGTAGGCAACCTTGACTCTTTTATGACTCGTGGACTTCAACTCCCAGAATTCCTGAGCAGCCATGCTGAGGGGAAAGGGAGAGGTTTCCAAGCTGAGCCATGCTGGCTCAGGAATTCTGGGAGTTGAAGTCCACGAGTCATAAAAGAGCCAAGGTTGCCTACCCCTGGTATAGGGTTTCCTGCCTGAGCAGGGGGTTGGACTAGATGACCTCCAAGGTCCCTTCCAACTTTATTATTACTTGTTTCAGTGCTGTCGTAACTTCAATCAGTCACTAAATGAACTGTCGTAAGTTGAGGACTACTTGTACTATTCCCCCCCCCCCCAGTTTTAGGGCAGGTTCATAGTTGAGCCCCTTCCCTTCCTGTCCTGCAGGATGTATTGTTTGCAGGGAAGGTCCTTGGTGCTCTCTGAGNAGGTCCCTTCCAACTTTATTATTACTTGTTTCAGTGCTGTCGTAACTTCAATCAGTCACTAAATGAACTGTCGTAAGTTGAGGACTACTTGTACTATTCCCCCCCCCCCCAGTTTTAGGGCAGGTTCATAGTTGAGCCCCTTCCCTTCCTGTCCTGCAGGATGTATTGTTTGCAGGGAAGGTCCTTGGTGCTCTCTGAGTCTTTTTTTTTTTTGCACGTGTTTCATTAGCTAGTTAGGTAACATCTTCAGTGCTAGAACGGAGTGGGCTCTGATCTGTTTATACAGGGTGGCTTGCCCTAGCAGTATTGGTGGGACTGTTTCCTTCTTGGTAATTCCTTACTTAATTGTGTACTGTTTGGTTGTCTGCCAGAAAACAACCAAGCTCAGAGAGCGCCACAGTTCAACCGTTAATTACAAATATTCTCTTCTATCGGGGTGCATTGTCTGTTGCAGAGAACCTGTCTTACGGATGAGCACAACCCATTTATTTTTTTAATCATTCCCATTTTTTTAAAGTGTGAGCCACTCGGAGGCATCTGGAGTAGGCTGCTTCTAAATTTCATTAAATAAATAAAGTGATGCTTGAAAGAACAATTGACTCCCCCGGAGGATAAAAGGGGGCTCATCAGAGACTGGGCTCACCATGGTTTTATTTCTCAAACTGTGCTATTCCTCTCCGCAGCCTTGCTCACCAAAGGAAGACACGTGAAGGGGAAAATAAAGCACAAGTACCTGTTTGACTCCCATCAGTTCTGCATAGTCAAAGATGAGGATGATGCTAAAGATGATTAGCCAGGAGATGAAATGGAGGATAAAGCAGGTGAGTGGAACCCAAGTGGTCCATGGCTCAGTGCTCGTATTCCAGAGCATGGGGCCCTCCAGCACTGGCTGCCAATACCTCATCAGCAACTACGTTAAAAGGGAAAAAAAAATACATTACTAGCAGACACCGCAATGACATTTAATGTGGCTGCATGTGAGGTCACGCAGGGTATGAATCAGAGTAACAGAATAACAGAGTTGGGAGGGACCTTGGAGGTCTTCTAGTCCAACCCCCTGCTCAGACAGCAGACAAAGCCCATCTCTCCTTAAAAACCTCCAGTGTTGGAGCACCCACAACTTCTTAAAGCAAGTTGTCTTTTACAAAAGAATGCCAATATAAATGCAAGTTAAAATTCTAGTCTTCATTATTATCTATTTTTTTTTTAAAAAAATGCTCACTTCTCCTAGCTGAGAAAGAAACTCAACTGTGTTTTGCAACGTAACAAACAATGAAAGAGCTCAAGCTTTTACAGGTAGTCCTTGAGTTGTGACCACAATTGAGACTGGAATTTTGGTGTCAAGTCGTTGCAGTTGTTAAGTCGATTCACCATGTGACTGGACTCGATTTTTTGACTGTGTTCAAGTGAGTCACCATGGCTGTTAAGCAAATTACATCATCGTGAGTCTGAATCCATTTTAGCCATTTGTCAGAAAATGACCAGGAAAAAAACAATCACAAAAAACAATCAAGTGATGCTTTTATAAATGCAAGCTGGTTGCCAAGCACCTAAAATGTGATCACATGGCTGTGAGGGTGATGCAGCAATTGTAGCTTCGAGGAAAAGGCACAACCTTTTTTGAGTCCACTGTAACTTCAATTTGTCATTAAACAACCATTCGTAAGCTGAGCAGTACCTGTACAACTTTCTCACTTTATACTCTAAATCGGTATTCCTACCTGAAGAGTTACGTCTGTGCAAAAAACATAGACTGTTCTCTGCAAGACCCCAAAGCAGTTGGAAGTCCAGTGTTTGACCCGGTCAGAAGCCATAAGGCTGTGCTGCAGGATAAAAAGGATGATCAGGCCCACATCCGCTGTTAGCGAGTGCAGAATCTTGGGATCCCTTAGGGCAGTTTTCCACTGAGAATTCGAGGTGCCATCTGCAAGAGAAAAATTGAGTAATCTTGCACCCAGTATACAGCAGGATATTATTACCGTGATGATTTACATCAGGGGTGTCAAACTGCCGGCCCGCGAGCCGGATGCGTCATGGTGAAACTGTGCCTACCCCATTGCCGGCAATGGAAAAAAAGTCACGATACGTCACGTGATGTGGCGAGTTTGACACCCCTGGTTCACATCAACCTTTCTCAACCTTTTTACCCAAGAGCAGTGTTTGTAAATCTCAGCGTCTTTAAGATGAGTGGACTTCAACTCCCAGAATTCCCCAGCCAGCTGGGAAGTTGAAGTTCATCCTACTTAAAGTTGCTGAGATTGACAAGCAATGCCCTAGAGCAGGGGTAGGCAACCTTGGCTCTTTTATGACTCGTGGACTTCAACTCCCAGAATTCCTGAGCCAGCCATGCTGAGGGGAAAGGGAGAGGTTTCCAAGCTGAGCCATGTGGGCTCAGGAATTCTGGGAGTTGAAGTCCACGAGTCATAAAAGAGCCAAGGTTGCCTACCCCTGCCCTAGCGGTACCCTTGAAATAATTTTGAGGTCTCAGGGAACCCCTGCATTAAAAATATTACATCTACAGCTAGCAAAGAAGGTTGCTTTGGGACTACAAAATGAAATCCTGAAGTCTCAGGCAGTCCATAGTCTGTCCAACCCAGTCTGAAGAAGTGCTGGGAATGCAAGAAGAAGGACACTGGCATTTAGAAATCTGATTCCCCCCCCCTTATATTTTCCAAGTTTCACTTCAAAATCTGGCGGGCACAGCTCATGATCCTGAATATTCATTCCTTGCATAAAAGGACCGTAATGTTTGCAATCCAAAGGCAGTAAAAGAAGGGAATTTTTTCACTTTGATGAACATATAAATTATGTACAAGCCTTAGGGATAGGAATAGCTTTCTGGGATTGAGTGTGGGCTCCTCAAAATCAGCCTTAATCCTTGATCAAATGCCCAGATCTTTAAGAGATATACAGAAGCAGAATTCTGCCAAAGACGGCCTCTATATTACTGCATAGTTTTGACCTAACAGCTATTCAGGGGGGAAGCAAGAACCAAACGTTCCTAGCAAAGGACAGCTGAATGACACTCCGACTGCTTCCAATAATTTATATGGCTGTGATTTGGCAATGATTTCTTCAATACACTCCTCTGATTGGATTCACACAAAGAGCCTAAGTCATGATGTGGATTTTCTGTTTGGGTTTATTATACCGTCAGAATTCAGCCATCGATAAGTTCGCTCAGGCAATCCATTACTGTAAATCAGTGTTTCTCAACCTTGACAATTTTAAGGCATGTGGACTTCAACTCCCAGAATTCCACAGCCAGCATTGCTGGCTGTGGAATTCTGGGAGTTGAAGTCCACATGCCTTAAAATTG